ACTGGAGCCAGTTACTTGTTTCAAGCTTTTTATGTGAGATGGCATGAAAGATGATGATGTCCCTTTGGATAAGTGGCATACTTGAATTTCCTCTGTATTAGAAAAACATAATATGTTATCTTTACTTTCTTCACATAAGTCTTTCCGATACCAGTTCTCAGGGTCTTGGCATCTAACTGAAGCATTTATACCTGTCTTCCAATGTGCTTCAAAACTGCTGAAAAGTAAGAAGACACATCTTACAAATGCAGAGATATTGGTATATTTCAAAATAATAAAATAGTGAGTAGAAACTGCGGCCTTAGTGAGGCCGCAGCTGGAGTACTGTGTCCAGTTTTGGGCTCCACAATTCAAAAAGGATGTGGAGAAGCTTGAGAGAGTCCAGAGAAGAACCACGCGCATGATCAGAGGTCAGCAAAACAGACCTTACGATGACAGGCTGAGAGCCGTGGGGCTCTTTAGCCTGGAAAAGCACAGGCTCAGGGGTGATCTGATGGCCACCTATAAGTTTATCAGGGGTGACCACCAGGATCTGGGGGAATGTTTGTTCACCAGTGCACCCCAAGGGATGACAAGGTCAAATGGTCATAAACTACTACAAGACTGTTTCAGGCTGGACATAAGGAAGAATTTCTTTACTGTCCGAGTCCCCAAGGTCTGGAACAGCCTGCCATCGGAGGTGGTTCAAGCACCTACATTGAACACCTGCAAGAGCAAATTGGATGCTTATCTTGCTGGGATCCTATGACCCCAGCTGACTTCCTGCACTTTGGGTGGGGGGCTGGATTCAATGATTTTCCGAGGTCCCTTCCAGCCCTAATGTCTATGAAATCTATGAGAAGGGTGTTTGTTAAAAATAGCTACTCCATATTTTTTATAATATATAAGGAAACCCAACTGAGCTTCAGTTGCATTAATAGAAAACAAAATAAAATCAGATTTTACAAGAAACAACTACAGTGTCAAACCCCAGAATATCTATTATATTTGACCCAAACTGCTATTTCATAATATTGATCTTTTTTATTAAAATTCAATCTCAGATTTTTATAATAAACCTTTACATTAACTCATATACACTTTTAGCTGCAGAAAGATAATCCCACTGTATCTGCCTCTGCCGTACAGCTTTTTCTAGGATGAGCAAAACTGAAAACTATGTAAATATAGACCATATTTCATTTCATAGACTCAGAGTACCTTCAACACCTGTTCCTCTGATGAGTTATTTTATTAATAATTATTTCACAGAAGATCACCAGTATCTGGTATGGTCTTGTAGACAAGCAAAACAAGAGCAGGACCAGAAACTCCTTTGCTGGAATTTGGCACATGCAAACAAAGGTAATAATGGAGAAGATGAACTGCTGGGGAGAACGGGGTCAGGCCCAAAGCAATGGGAGAGGCAGGGCTGGATGAGGACGGGAGGAATGCTGGGCTCTGTCCCCCCCCCCCCCCCCCCCCCCCCGTCACTTTTTGGGGGGATTTCTGAATATTTTTAAACAAATATTAAAAAAAAAAGTAGGAAGTACCCAACAAAAATGGGGGGGGGGGGGGGCGAGGGCCCACATTTCCCCCCCCCCCCCCCCACCGGTAATTCTTGATGGGTAACTTGCCAGTATTTTATAAATATGATGCAAAAGTAAGCACAAGAGAAAAGGCTTGAATGTTCATTTAGGAATATTTGCTGTGTTTCTTCTTTAAGAAGATCTGTGATAGCGCTCTAGTCTACCAAACTGGAAACTAAGATCAGACTTTACCTACCTGACATAACTTGACATTGATTGTGAATTGATTAATCCAAAAACTGAATGAGAATCTGTCAATATATAGAAAATAATTTACTGAACTAGGGAGAACTTAATCTGTATACTACTTCTATTAAATCCAATTAAGAATATGGAATTAAAAAGACATTGTTTACCCAGCTGTCACTTCTCCATCTTTTATTACAAACCACCACTAAAATAACTAAAACATAAAGAATTTAAGAGAAAATTGTTAAACACATTTTGTACAAATAAGTTCAACACACTTTGTACAAATACATTTCACTGGTTGATGGCCTAATACTTTATTTTCATTCATTGCTCTCATTTCATTCATTGCATTTACAAGTGCTGTAACTGGGTCTTTACTGGAGATGCAATGTTTGTATTCACAAGGAAACCCCAGGGGAGGGTGGACTTGAGCATGTTTGGGGTTATGTTTTCCAAAATATTCTTAAAGATACAGCAAATCTGTTATTAGCTTCTTTTTTTATCAGGTCATACCATGTTCTGTTTAAAATAATATTTCAAAGTTAGTCAATGCAAGAAAACATAAATCTTACTATTTCCTCTGTAATGGTTGCTAAGTGTTACTGATATAAAAAACAATAAAGTTTTTTTTTTTAAAAATGAGATTGGCTCATGTTCTGTCTAAAACAACTAGTCAATACATACAAGTTAGTCAGTACAAATTTCAAAGTTAGTTAATAAAAGAAAACTTAAGACTTGCTGTTTCTCTTTTATGTTTGCTAAGTGTTACTGATGTAAAAGCAATAAAGACTATATATGTTGTTACTATTATTATACTATTAAGAAGTTATTTTATATTTACCATTTGTTTGACTTCTTTGAGAGCAACTTCCTGTCTCCTGTATAAAGGAAGAAAAGGATTAGAAGACCAAAACAAGTCCTAGTTACAGCTTCCTTTCACTGTTACCAACCTCAGTTGCTGAAATCTTTCACTAACCTTACATCTACAATACACACTACATCACATTCAGGCACCTTGTCCTCACTTGTAAAGTCCTCCATAATCTTGCTGCCACCTATATGTCTGCTCCTCATTCTTTACTTTATGTTTTGTTCCTACACTTTTCCCTAGATTCTCTTCTTACTGTTTCCTTAATCTAGGACGAGAATAAGAGTTGTAGTGGATCAGAGCAGTGATCCAAATTATTCAGCTTTTTGCAGCTTTGGTGGTGGTTAGTTATGAAGTACTTTCTCTCCAGTCTTGCCTCCACTCTTAGCTTCTCACCCTCTCTTGTGTAGTTCCAGTGTTACTTATTCACTAAACTCTTTTTCCTTCAATCCTGACAGAAAGCTTATTTGTTCAAGGGTCATTCAGTGTTCATTTTACCAAAGATCCCTTTCATTCTAATTTCTTTAAATCACTGTCCTAAAATGTTAATGTAGAATTCAAGCAGTGTAGGTAATAGAAAATGGCTTGCTGTATGTTTAGCTGCTGTAGATATCTGACATGATATAAAGTACTACAAGTGATAAAATTATTTTTTCAGTATATCACACTAAAATTGTATTCTTTTTACCAGCTGAAAACATGAAGAACTTTCTGAACTGTTCTGTTGTGGCATTTGTGCACTGGTTGTTTTGTAAGATGTCCAGATGGCAAAACCTATCAGCAGAATAAGTATTGCAGTTCCCAAATAGAAACAATTCCAGGAGGGTAGAGGAACCTGGCTGAAACCATATTTCCAGAAGATCGTCTTTTCAAAAAGATACGGCTTATTTTCTGTCTCGTACAAAATAGCTGGCTTTTTCATGTCCATAAAAGCTGCTTCATATTTAAGGAATGGTTTCTTTTCATGGTTTCTTTTCAGTAAAGATGCATTAAGCACTAGAAATATACACCAATATCTCATGGTAGTCCACCAGAGGGATCCTTTTCAAAGTAGAATTATATCCAATACATTATTAGCACTGAGCACCTATCAGGTAGTCTGGTTTAGCCTGATAGAATCTGCAGGTTTGCCTATAGAACATTTTAAACACGACAAATATGTCATAATGCTGCTTTTGTCCCATCTTAAACATCATCCTTGCATACAGTCAGCTTGAGCAGAAAGTGCAGGGGACTTTTATAGCTCAGCTAGGTAGCCATTTGTACATTGTATATTAATAAAGTTAGTTTTTGTTTCATTTTCAGCAACTTCAAACAGAGAGTGTAATCTTTGATTAACTTCACAATTTTTTGTTGGCTGATGATTGTGCCTTAGTCTCTCATTAGTCTCTTAAGAACTGCAAACCATGGTAGAGAGCTTTGCAAATATATGCTCACTTTTTGGTCTGGTTACTAGTCTTAAAGGGACCAAAATCCTCCATCACCCTGCACCTGCAAAACCTTAGGTACTGTCAGAAGCCATCATTAGTGGACAGGATCTCCAATCAGTTCCTAAATGTAACTATTGTGGGAGTACTGTAGCATGCTACGATGAATGATGAACTTCCACAAAGAACTGCCAAAGCCATCACAGTGTTTGGAAAACTACCAGGCTAGTATTAGAACTCACACTGAATACATCTACGTGTGCAATTAATGTGCCTGAATTTATATCACAGAAAATTCAGGCTCATCAAAGCACTTTGGGGTACACATCTACACGTGCCCCATCAGGAGCAAATTGAACCTGACAGGAGCAGTCCAGTCCAGGACTTCTTCCTGCCCTGCTGTAGCAGCCAGGGGGAGCTCCAGGTTCCCCCAGGTGCCAGCCCTGGGGCTGGCAGGGAGCACAGGGGCCCTTCCCAATACCTACATGGCTGGGAGAGCGATCCCTGCTCAGCTCCCCATGTGGCTTAGGATTAGGATCCCCATGTGGCTGGCGGAAAGCATCCCTGCTCAGTGGGGATGGCTTTCCCAGCTACATGGTAATTGGGACTCCCTTGATCCCCACATAGCTTGGATGCAGCAGTTCCAGCTGCTGGGACAGCTGTCCTGACCATGTGGGGGTCAGGACAGGTCCCAGTCCCCATGTGGCGGGGAAAGAGCTGCCCTGCAGTCAGCACAACTCCACCCCACATCAGGGCTTAGCCAGGCAATAGTGGGCCCCCTGCTGTCTGGGCTGACCGGGAGCAAATTTCTACATGTGAATTCCTACGTAGTAGCTAATGAACCATTAATCTAGTACCTATATTTCCTAGTACTGGCAAACAGTGCATTAGCTTAATTTACTGCACAGTAAGTCCTGTGCATGTGTAGCCGATGACACTTTACTGCACATTAGAATAGTTTAATGCGCAGTAAAGCATTTCATGTAGACACACCCACTGTGGATCAAACTGAAATGCTTTAAAGACTGCCTGAAATTTCAACTCAAACAGTGCAACATTGGCTTCTGATTGGGAGCAACTGGCATTAATTCAAAACCTGGGACAAGACAGCATGGCATTTACTAACCCAGAGGTTCTCCATTTTTTTGACTCAGGTCACCCCTCCTTGGACACAAGACACCCTTGGCAAATCCCACCTTTTAGCTTTAGCTCATTTTTTGAACCTGGAAAAGTAATTGCAAAGAACTCAGAAAGACCACAAAAGGTTAGAATGTTTTTGACATTATTGATTCCTATTTGAAATCTCTGGGCTTATCTTGTGAATGGTGTGTGTGTTTGCCTACCTAAGGGTGCTAATATTGCTCTTATTAAAAGTATCTCATGGCACTCTCCTTGGGAATCACTGTGCAAACCTGTTCAGGTGCTTGCCCTTTGAGAGCCCATGCATCTGAGATGCTCACGATAGGTCTCCTCTTGATGGCTTGAAGCCATCCTCTTTGATTCCAACAACTGGATAAAAAGAATGAAGATTGTATGGATGAATTTATTGCTCATCCAGATCTTCGTTAAGGCTTTTGGACTCAGAAATATTAATAGTGTAAAAACAACATCTATTTTTCTTCAATAAGGAAGTGCTGTACTTCAGGGACTTTTTCTCCTTTTGGGTAATAAAGGCTACATTTTTAAGGTACTGCTCTCATTTCCCCTCTCCTGCAGTTGCTTGCAAATGCAAACACAATTAGGCATAGACAGAAATGACAGCATTTAAAACTAATTATCTAATTTGCAGATGCAGTCAATTGTGGCAACAAAAGTAGAAACCATTAACCAGAAAAAAAGAAAAAGCCAACAGCTTGTATGTTCTTTTGTGTTGCAGTTTGAAAAACTGAAGGCCCTTCAGATCTTATCACCCAGGTTATCTATGGAATTACATTAGGTGGAGTCGCATCAGCCTATGCTGGAATGCAGTTTTGGCTTCTGGCTGTTTGTCCATCACCGTCCTAAAGCATACGCAGGTTTAGGTAACCAGTCAGGGGATGTGGCAGACTTGCCACAGAGCCTTTGGGGCAAAAAACGCTGATTACCCAAGTAAGTAAAAATGTAGATATTTCTTGTATTAGTGATGTCCTGCCAGTGTTCAAAACAAGACACTCCAGTGTTTTCTCTCAGTCTATGAAATTCTGGATAGGGGTTCTGGATAGAAGGTTGAATAGAGAATACTGGGAAAATGTCTATTTTGTTCCTTTTGGAAACCCATATTCTCTATTTTCATGGAAATCAGAGCTGCAGCTGGTAGAGATTGTGTCCTGGGCAACAGAGATATACCTGCTAGGGTTTGCTACTGGAATATTTGCAGGGGGCTTAAGGCTCCAGCTGCCTGCAGCAGGGTGGAGACAGGATGCTTGTGCAGGAGGAGGTGTTTCCACGAGCAGCCAAGTTAACTCTCCCCTGCCCCAACTGCCATAGTTTTATATGGTGAGCAACCATGTAAATCCCTTAGGTTGTTAGTGACACCTCTCCTTGCAGCAGCATCGCTCATGGAGAGGGAGGGTGAGGCTGATGAGGGAACTCCTGCCTCTGCTCTGCTGTGTCGCTGGAACCTTGCACCCTCCCACCTCCATTCTGGCTTTCCTTGTTACTGGGCTTCTCCCAGTCCCCCACCCTTCGTTATGGTACGGCTGAAAGTACTTGGACTTTATTCCAAAAAATGCATGCGTTTATATGTGTTTATAGATTTATGAAGGCTTCTCCAGCTTATAAGTTTGCCAAACCAACTGTATCCTTTCAGTCTCTGTGAACAGAGAGAGACATGTATATTTCCTCTTCTGCAAACAAACTTTTTGGAAAACATCCCTCCTTTTCTTTTTCCCTGAGAATTTAGATTCCTTTTATATTTTCCCTTTGCATTTCCCTCCTTTCTTGCTCTAACTTGGATCTGGAAAGGTTACAATAGCTCCTTATGGAGGATTGGGAACTTCCCCACCCTAATAAATCCTTGATTTTTTGTAGGAGGTAATGTTGGTTGAACTGCTCCATCCATTAATTCTTCTCAGTGCTTAATATTTTCCTTTCATTCTTAAGGTACTGTCATCCACCTTTTCCATCATCTTCTGCCTTGTTTTGTCTACTACCTAACCCAAGTGGCAGATACCGTATTTTTCCAAGACCACCCCAATAGACATCTTCAGCACATAATACAAAAGCAGTAAAAGTTACATCACATAACCTGCCACTACTTCTACTTCTTCATAGCTTCCAGTTGACTCTTTTTATGCCATCTGGATGCTGTTTCCTTTTGGCTGAGAAGATGCAACTTCAGAGAGAGCTAACTGTGCATGAGATGATCAGCTGCCAGAAATGTAGCTAACCATCACTGGCAACATGTCACAGACTGTGCATTTATGTCAACAAGAGCAGAACAAAAATCCATTCATTTTCCTTAATGCTTGGCTGAGGAACAGTGGTATTAACATGTTTTTTTATGCGTTCCTTCTTCATTGAAGTGCAGTTTGTTTATTAAAATGTTTTAATTTTTGATTAATTGCTTTAGAAAGCACGCAGCGAGAAATATTCTGTTCTTTGCTGGAATAGAGATCTGTGTCAAAGTGATACACAGCATTTTGTCAGTCACTAGAAATCTAGGACAAATCTACTGATAATGCTTTTGAGTGAAGTGGTGAGAGCCTGGGGAATGGGAGTTAGGACTTGTTTCTGTCTCTGATGTCTGAGGACCTCATCTAAGTGGTAACTAAAAAAAGTAGTCTGACAGAACAGGGGACACTTGAATTACCCTCTATACTTTGTGCCAAAAAAATCAATGTTTTGGCCACTTAATATGCATCTCAGCAGCAAAAAAAGGTGACGTCTCCCCCAGCAGTAATGAACCTCAAGATGCTGCTTCCGTGTTGCTGCTGCTGTTCTGCCCTCCCCAGTGCTGGGGCTGGAGCCACTGCAGCAAAGGTACAGGATGTGGGGTTGGGGGAGCACAGTACCAGCCAGTTATGCCTTTGCCTCAGATTTGCAGCCTGAGTCCCCATGGCTCCTGTCTCCAATATGTTGAATCTACCTCAGTGTCTTAACCCTCTCCATTTATTTCCCAGTATCCCAAATCTTTCATTTTTAGCAGTCCCTTCCATGTCCTCTTGCAGCAGAGGCTAGCTGTCTTTCCTAGCGTTTAGGAGCAAGTCTGGGGGGTGCAGGTCCACTCTAAATCTACCAGGTCCTAACCCGTGGCCCTGGCTTGTTTTGCAGCAAGTCATCCACCAGCTTTGCTATGGTGCAGCTTGGTACCTGTTTCATGGGCCATCTCTGCACCTCTGGTTCCTCAACATATACCTCTTCCATTTTACCTCTACCTTTGGCCTCTGCTGCCTAGACTGCCCTTCAGTCCCTCAGGCTTCATGTGCGCATCAGGGACATCTGTCACTTAGTACTTATTGAAACATTTTTATAAACTTTTCTAAATCAAAGTAACTCTTGTGTTGTAATATAGTGGTGTTATAGTTTGGCCTAAAGCATTTCAATAAAAGTTTTCTGACTAGTTCTGTTAATAGCATGATTGTCCTTGCTCTGTATTTGGAATGGGAAGTCCATTATCTATTTTTATGACTCAGTCAATTTTTGCTTTGTGTTGTTAGGAGGAGTTCTGAAATCTAGTAGGATGAAAAAACTGGCCTCAAGTCCATTTGTTTGATGACTGCTGAAGCTTAGCCATCTGGTGGAGACATGTTATTTTGAGTGGCTCTGTGTCAAACAGCAAATTACTCTGGCTTCAGTCTGCATGTGAGCTAGTAAGAAAAGTATCTCTGGATGTCTAAAACTAGTTTCTTCACATATGCTCTTGCCTTGTAGCCATATTTAAAGAAAACAGGATGATCATCACAAGATAATATGATAGGAGTGCTCGACACCCTTATCTTTTCTCTTTTTGTCAGTAGGGCAGTGCAGTGTCTGATTAAAAAAAAACACATTTCGCTTTCAAATAATTGCAGAACACTCTCCTGAATTCACTGCCTCGTAAGAACCCCTGCCCCAGAATCAGTCCACGCTAACAAAATGCCATTTACGTCAATGGCAAATCAGTGCACTATGTAATTGAAAGACTGGAGCATATGCAGCACCCAGAAATATAACTTACAATTTGGTCAAAGAAGCCAAAAACAAAGAATCTGATCCTTGTCTTTCCAGTGATACATTTTCAGAAAAAAACAAGTGATTTGTAAAGGCAACAAAGACTGAAGGAGAAAACCGTGACAAGAATGTCAACCTTTATTCGTTGGAAACGCTAGTACCTCTTTTAGCATATCCCTCTACCCCTTCATTTTGGCAGTATTTAAATTAAATAAAGTTTATGAAAGCCTCTTCCAGAACCAAACCTGACTCTTTAGGTTTAATATCCCCCCAACTAACCTGACTGAAATATGTAAAAGAACCAAATTACTCTGCAAAAGTAAATTTATTGAATTCTTCACATCTTTCAGTTTATACCTGGGAAGATGTTTTTGCACAGCTCTGATCCCAACCTGGTCAGCTACTGTAGACCTATATTTCAATAGGATGGGCAGGGGGCCTTTTAGTTCTGCCAAAGGCTGAAGCCCCCCGCCCCCCCTTACACTGCCTGTTTGTGGAAGAATAATTTAATATATTAGAAAGAATGGATAAAACATTCTTTTAAATGGAATTATATGGACAGCCCATTTATAAAATCCTATGCAAGCAGTGTTTAAGCTGCTTAGCTGTCAACATTGTTTATTGTAGATATCGTTTTCTATCATTCACAATAAGATACTGTGAGAAATCATATTTTATGCTGACATATCCATGGAGACATCATCGCCATGTGAGAGCCAGCCACCCAGCAAGGAAGGTGTAGACATTAAACATTCAAAAGTCTGAGACCAGGGACAGTCAAACAGTGAGGTTTTATACAACCAAAAAAGCAACATAGTACACCCTAGAACACAAAATGTAGGCCACATTTACAGGGGAGGAGCATGTCATTGAAAAAGGCTTAGGAATTATCATATATGAAATCCCACCATGTTCCTATGTCAAAAAGGGCATCATCTTACACGAATTTACTAACAGAGTAGTAGGGAAATGTTATTACTTTTTTGTCCATGATCACCTTCCTCATTACTATGAATGAGGCCAGTACTTGAGAGGCTAGGTCTTTAAAGGTAGAAGGAAGTCACTTCTGGCTCCATTTCCTTTACAGGTAAGTAAGAAGCAGCAGAGGTGTAATTAGCTAATTCAGTGCCTTGCCAGCGTGTGTGGGGGGGACACAGGGAGTGGGGCAGGGATTGGGAGGCAGGTGAGCTCCTGGTGCCTTGCACAATGGGTATGGCTACCACTGTGCAGGTGCCCCATTGACCCCACCCTCATTACAGTACTGAGAATCAGGCTAGGAAAGCTAGGTCAGTTGAACCTCGGCTACTAAGAAGCTTCAGGTCCAGAATTGGATGGCTCCCAACCAAGCTGCTGGCTAAGACTGTGGAGCAGCAAGCTTGAGTGATAAGCTAAAGTGGCTGAGCCAAGGAATAAAGCCAAAGGACCGAATATGGAGGGGAGCAAAGATCCAGGAAGCCAGACTGGGAGGCATGACAGGAGATGCCAGTGTTGGGGACTGCCAGATGTGGAAGGGACCCAAATAAATTGTAATAAGCTGTGGTAAAGAGTGTAACCACCGGGGCCAAGCTGTATAGCCAGGAAGGGTCCTGGGTTGGGAGGAACCTGGTATACCCTTTTTGTGTCCAAAACTGGGTACCTGCAGAGGACCACTAGCCTATACTATTTGGTATAGGCCATAGAGGAGACTGTGAGGTTTAGGGGACTCCTGAGACATTGTCGATGCTGAGCACCCTGCCTGCTTCTGAGCAAGAGAAAGCGTGAGAACTTTGGATAGATCCAAGTGAATTGAAGGAAGGCTATGAAGGGCCTGGGTTGTTAAAAACAAATCAGCCATGGCACAGCTGTAAGGGCTAAGGAGATTGATCAGGAAAAGATGAAAACTGAAAGATGTATAGCAAAAATCATATTTTTTTACACCAGAATAACTCCTGGCCAGAGTGAGCCTTTTTTAACACAAAGTCTCTAAGAATTTGTTTTGACCATGTTAAAAAATGTATTTCATTAACTCAGTTCTCAAAAATCCCTGAACTATTGTAGCTGAAATTAAAAAAAAAAATGGCCTGAAATAGCCAGCCAGTAGTTTCAGCTGAAATTGTTAGTCTGGGATCATGATCAGCAACTGAAAACAAAGTCCATTATGGGGAAATTCTGTAAAACAAAACAAGAAAAAAAGGCAACAATAACAGCTCCAATATGTGATATTTTCTTACATCTCATATTTTCAAACATGGCTGGTTTTATATCGGGGTGTCAAACATAAGGCTGATGGGCCAGATCCAGCCTCTGGTGCCGTATGAGCTAGCCCATGAATCTCAGACTGACCTGTGCAGGGCTGATTTGGCACATGGGCTGGACCCAGTACCAGCTGCAGGTGCTGCTTGCAGCACAGGGGCCTAACGCACGGTGCACACTGCATGTGGACTCATGCTGGACTGACCCTGTGCACTGACTCTGGGGTGATCTGAATTGGGCTGTGCCAGAAGCTGGAGTTGGGCTGGACATGCTGCCCATGACATGGGGCTGAAATGGGGAATGTAGTGGCCCTGTGTGCCACTGGACTGTCTCTGCGTGCTGGCTCTGGTGTGGCGTGATCTGGTTCACAGACTGGCCCGGAGACCTTCATCTGGCCCACCAGGCCTGATGAGTTTGATACTCCTGCTTAATGTAATGTAATACAGGCAGTCCTCGGACTTACGACACAATTGGTTCCCAAAAACTGTGTCTTAAGATGAAATGCAACTGGGAACAAATTTTCTCATAAGAAACAATGTTATAAATGGGGGATTTGTTCCTGAACCAAGGCCCGATACCCTATTTTCACCAAAAATACCCCAGAATTTTGTACTTGATCAATTATAGATGAGTAATATAGCTACATTAATGTCTTCATATTGTAAATAGCAATCAGATTGATTTGGAAGGACTTCTTTGACGTGACTTTGCTGGACTTTTTGAAGGGCTCTAGGTTGGACTTTTTGAATGGTTCTTGGCTGGAGTCTTGGCTGCAGGTTTTTCTGGCGTCTTGTCTGCTTTCTTAAGGAAGTTTGGACAGATGTTCTCCAGGGAGGTGGGCGATGCAGCGAACTTGTTCGCTGGTGTGGTGTCGCATTGGATCAAGCGTTGTAAAGTTGAAATTGACGTCAGCAGGGTATCAATTTATAAACACAAGTGCAAAACGTTGTAACTCAAAACATTGTAAGTCGAGTACTGTCTGTAATAATCTTGATCATTTACATTCTAATACCAGGATTTGTTTCCTGTAAGCGTGGCTCATCAGCTTCTCATGAGCCAAAATAATGTTCTGTAATGGAGACACATTCTGTACCAGAAGAAGTGACAAATCTTGCTATTGCAAATAGAAATTTTGCGTGGCAAATGTGGCAGCATCAGTATGTTCATGTTTCACTGCTGAGATCTCCATGTCAGCAGGCATGACTTCATTTCTTCTGTAACTGGGTTTGCAAGGATAGCAAGTCTCATAGTGGGTTCAGGGGTCAAAGGTTCTTCTTTTATTGAGAGGCACAACTGAAAGGAAGTACAGGAGAATGGTTGGGTACTTTGAGATCCTGACTGCTGTCAGTTCACTGGGGATTTAAATATACAAGCAGAGCAATCTTCTCAGGGCAGTCAAAAGAGCAACTGGACAAAGGCCACTAATATTTGTCCTTGCTGCAACAGAGCAAATAATGGCCTGTAGCCAGAGCATTGCAGCAAGCATGTAAGGGGTTGGCAAAGTTTAGATACAAAATTACTAAGTAGGAAGATTAGAATGGCAAAGGACAATACTCTAAGCCTTAGTTTGTTAAAACTGATGTCTCAAACCATGTATATGCACTCACTGAATTACATTACATAAAATTGACAAAAGATCTTTGTTCTTTATGGAAATATCTGGACTTTCCAGTGAACATGGAAAGAAAAATCATACTCTTCAAGCTTGTTGAGCTGAAGTGTAATCCCAAATGCACAATTGTAAAGCTAGAGGGAGCCTGTAAAAGTCAGTAGAGTGAGGGCTGTTTAGGGTGGCTTTTTTCTGGTGTAACGGGTTAGAATCTGGACTCCAACCATACAGACCCCACATTATGTGACATTGTCGCAGGGCACTTCAGTGACCTGCTCCTAGGAAAAGGCCCACAGAGGTTGCAGACCTGAGGAGGGGATCTAGGGGCCAGGCACGGCTACGGCCACCTGAGCCCAAGCGCAGAGAAAGGCCCTAGTGCGGGCAAAGCCCCAGGGAGGGCACACAGGCAAGGAGCCCCAGGGAGGGCACTCGCTTAAGACCCAAGAGGGGAATTTGGGGGCCAGTCTGGTGATTGGCACTCCCAGCCTTGGGACCACATTGGAGCCCTTCAAGACTCCACTGCACTCCCAGGGCTGGGAGGGGGAGGGAGTGCTGGACACACATTCACTTTAAGATGCAAG